GGGGGACCTCTTGGGCTGTCTTGAACCCTGTGAAAGCCGAAAATGCTGATATGCTAAAGATGTAGGTTTTCCTATAGGAGTTTGACGATTTAAGCCTCTATGGGGTCTTCTTGGGGGCCTCTTGGGGCCCTCTTGGACCGTCTTGGAGCCATCTTACGGTGTCCTGGGGGCCTCGTGGACCGCTTGGGCGCTTCTTGGGCAGTCTTGGGCGCCTCGGGGACCTCAAAAGGCCACTAGAGCCCGGGTTGGCGCGCCTCGCCCCTTCCCTGGAGCCCCTCCCTAGAGGGCTTCGCCCCACCAAAAAACGTACATCACTCGTACCTCGCTCTTTCCGTCACCTGGGCCGGCACGGGAATGAAAAGAGTGCTGCAGGACCTTGCCCGAGAAGGCTCGTGGCACCCTTCGCTCTGGGGAGCCTTGGCGTTAAGTGTGTGTTGCGCTACCGCTCTCTGTTGGGAGCCCTGGTGTTCAGAGACTTTTACGTTGCCGCCCGCTCTTGGGAGCCTTGGTGTTGAGAGTTGTTTACGTCACCGGTCGCTCTTGGGAGCCTTGGTGTTCAGAGCTTGTTACGTCACCGCTCGCTGTGGGGAGCCATGGTGTTACTTGGCGTCTCTTGGCCTTCTTGGGAGTCTTTTGGCGGCCCTTTTTGACCGTTTTGGGACTCTTGCACCGTCTTGGGGTCAGCCCAGTCCCACACCCAAGCAGCCCACTCCCCACACCGCCTGTTCGGGCCCTCTTGGGCCATCTGGGGTCCTCTTGGGACCGCTGTGGGGCCCTCTGGGGGACCCTGATGGACCGTTTTCGGCTGGGGACGATCTTTGGGAACTCTTGGGCCGTCTGAGGCCCTACTGGGCCCGACGAAGCGAGAAACCCCAAAACCTTCTTTCTAATAAGAAAATGTGTTTGCCCTCCTGAGGCCCTCTCGGGGGCCTTCTCGAGAGCCATTATTTTAGGGATCTTTGGCCGCCTTGGAGCCTGCCCAGTCCCCACACCCAAGCAGCCCAGACCCCACACCGCCTCTTCGGGCCCCCTTGGGAGTCTCTTGGGAGCCTCTTGGGAGCCTCTTGGGGCTCTCTTGGGGTGGTCTTGGGGCCCTCTTGGGCCTTTGTGGAGCCCTCTGCGGCCGTCTGGAAGCCCTCTTGGACCATGTTCGGCCCCTTTGGGGGGTCTCTGGAGCCGTCCTGGGACGATCTTTAGGGCCTCTTGGGCAGTCTTGGGCCCTGCTTGGCCCGAAAAGGCCCGAAACACCTCCAAAAACCGACGAAAAAACCCTTGTTGTTGGCCTCCTGAAGCTCTCTCGGGGGCCCTCTGGAGGGCCTCTGGAGCCGGCTTGAGGCTCTCTTGGGGCCGTCTTTAGGCCGTGTTGGGGCCCTCTCAAGAACGTCTTGGGGCCCTTGAGCCGCTTCGTTCACATAAATACCAGGAAACGGGCCATAGGAGACGCCCAGGGGCCGCTTCACTCGAAGTAATGCGTAGGAAGCGGCCCCCGAGCGGACACTACAGCCCGTCCTTGCGCGCCTCGCCCCTCCCCTGGAACCACTCCCTCTTCGCCCCCGCACAAGAACGTCATCAATCGTACCTCGCTCTTTCCGTCACCTGGGCCGACACGGTAACAGAAAGAGCGTATCAGAAACTTGCCCGAGATGGCTCGTGGCATCGTTCGCTCTTGGGAGCCTTGGTGTCAAGAGTTGTTTGCATCACCGCTCTCTATTGGGAGCCTTGGTGCTAAGGGTTTTTGACGTTACCCCTCGCTCTTGGGAGCCTTGGTGTTAAGAGCTTGCCACGGCAGTATGGGAGATTGGAAGCCTTGGTGTTCAGAGCTTGTAACATCACCGCTCGCTCTTGAGAGCCTTAGTATTAAGCGCTCGTCACGTCAATAAGGGCTCTTGGGAGCCGTGGTGTTCAGACCTTTTTACTGCACCGCTCGCTCTTGGGAGCCTTGGTGTGAAGAGCTTGTCACGCCACTATGGGCTCGTGGGAGCCTTGGTGCTCAGAGCTATTTACGTCACCGCTCGCTCTGGGGAGTTGTTGACGTCCCCGCGCGCTGAGGAGCCCTGGTGTTACGAGAATAGAGCCGAAGGGCCATCTTGGGGGTCCTATTGGGGCCCTCTTGGGCCCTCTTGGGGCCCTCTTGGGCGCCCAGGAATGGTGTCCTGGCACGATTTAGGACTATCAGGGCACAACACTCAGATTGATTCGCGGTGTTGAGGTGTTGAAGTCCCAGGCATGGTGTTCAGGCACGAGCTAGGATTCAAGTTTGGCACGATGGAGGATTATCAGACGGCTGTCTTGGAATGACGCACTCCCAAGCAATGAACTAGTTTAAGAAACTGTGAAGATGGAACTTGGATTGAGTGTCTTGCAACATAGTTGATGCGGTCTGGGTTTACACTGGACCTCCTTCTCCTCCTGCTCCTCCTCCCTGGTATTCCTCCTCCTCCTCCTCCACGTCTCCCTTCCTTATAAGTAAGGCATCCCATACGCGTTTGTAGGGCGAGCCGGGCGTTTCGCCTGAAACTGCCACACGGCTCATGAGCCTGAAGCTTAAAAATCCATCACGTGCACGGACAAGGGCAAGTGATGTTCAAAACGTGGCTATGGACTCAGCACTCCCCGCCGCACGCATTCGTCCTATGGGCTCCCGACAGGTGCATGGACGGAGGACGATTCGTTTTCGACGTGTGGTTCTCGCCTTAGCGCTGCGCTCATTGACCTAAAAAACTGGATCGCTACGCTCAGAAAGGGCTGGTGGCCTTCAGAATGTAATCATCGACTTCGCACCGCGAGCATTCGCTTCTACAAATCCCATGCTTGCACGGATGCAGGGCTAATCGTATAGGGGAACAAAAAGTGACATAAACATGAAAACTCGGAGGGCCGCGCGGATTTCTCGGATCGGCGCTGGGGCCCCCCGGCGGCGCCTCCGGCGCCGCCCCTGGCGCGCTCCGCGCCAGGGAGGGGGGTCCAGCGCCGATCCGAGAAATCCGCGCGGACCTCCGAGTGTTTATGTTTATGACACTTCTTGTTCCCCTAACTTCGCACCGCGCGCATTCGCTTTTACAAATCCCATGCTTACACGGATGCAGGGCGAAGGGTATTCAAAATGTGGCCGCCGCCCCAGCACCGCGCACATATGCTCCACAATCGAGGAAAAAGAACTATGCCACCTACACCGATTCTGGCCAGGCCCATCCTGAGCCCAGGATCGGTGCACACGCCCCCTACCTTGGCCAGGAAGGCATATGCACCGATCCTGGGTCAAGGATGAGGAAAAGGATGATTTTGCTGTGAACCGCGCACGCCAAGCTGTCGAAAAGATCGCCAAGCAGCGAAGAATGAAGGGGCCCTGGGACACACAAATAAATACACACAAGAAGCTTCCCCATATTTTCCCATATTTTCTGGGTTCCTGTCTTCCCCCCCACTTCCCATATCTTCCTATATTTTCTGGGGAGTCGACGATGAATTGTATCTGTGTTTTTTTCCCTCCTGCATGTGCATAGTTCTCTTCGCCCGGTGCAAAGTTCCCAGCGGCCTTCTCAGAAATGGGGCCCTCGCCCGCGACCTCTTCGCGCCCGACGGCCAGGAGGTCAAAGCTATGCAGTGGTCCCCTCCCCCCTCCCTCGCTCCCCCTCCTCCTCCTCCTCCTCCTCCTCCTCCTCCTCCCCCTCCTCCTCCTCCCCCTCCTCCTCCCCCTCCTCCTCCTCCTCCTCCTCCTCCTCCTCCTCCTCCTCCGGCACGCGGGTGTGAAGGACGCCTCATGCTCAGAGCAGGGATCTCGCTCGACACATCCTCGGACGCCGTGGCCAGAAGACTCTAGTTGTGGAACAGTACGAAGACGGAGGACTTCAAAAACTCAAATCGAGATGGACACTTCCCGGAACGTTCTGCCCCTGACGATCCTTTCCCGATTCGGCTTGCCGAAAGGGGGGTTCTTACTTGGTTAACTGTTAGTGCCTCGGGAACCTGCTATGACCGTTCCCTGGAAATTCCCTGGGATCCTCGGGATCCCCAGGTTCCTCGGGTTCCTCTGGTTCCCTGGGCTCCTCGGGTTCCCCAGCTTCCTCGGGTTCCTTGGGTTCCCCAGGTTCCTCGGATTCCCGTGGTTCCTCGGGTTCCTCAGGTTCCCCGGGTTCCTCGGGTTCCCTGGGTTCCCCAGGTTCCTCGGGTTTCCTGGGTTCCTCGGGTTCCCTGGTTTCTTAAGGTTCCTCGAGTTCCCTGGGTTCCTCGGGTTCCCCAGATTCCTCGGCAATGCCAAACAATGCCGAGCAATGTCAACCCGTGCCAAGCAACGCCAAGCGATGCCAAGCAATGCCAAGCAATGCCAACCCATGCTAAGCAATGCCAAGCGATGCCAAGCAATACTAAGCAATGCCAACCCATGCAATGCCAAGCAATGCCATGCAATGCCAAGCGATGCCAACCCATGCCAAGCACTGCCAAACGTTGCGACCAAATAATGACAGCCCATGCCAAGCAATGCCAAGCGATGCGCCTAGCAACCGGCTTTCCCAAAATTGGGGTCGCGACGGGTTCATATGACTTTCAAGCTGGGAAAATGAAAAACGATACTGTTCAAAATGGGGGGTCTCGACCGAATGCCAATCCCATGGAGCGCTTGCCTGTCAAGGGGGCACGGGGCACCTCTCGCAATGTGCAGGAATGCTCGCGGGGACTCGCGAGGGGACTTGGGACGGGAGGTTGCTCGTAAATATTGCCACATCGTTGACGCATCCTGGCTTTACTCTGGTCCTCTCCTCCTCCTCCTCCTCCTCCTCCTCCTCCTCCTCCTCCTCCTCCTCTCCTCCTCCTCCTCATCCTCCTCCTCCTCCTCCTCCTCCCCCTCCCTCCCTCCTCCTCCCTCCTCCTCCTCCTCCCTCCCTCTCCTCCTCTCCTCCTCCTCCTCCTCCTCCTCCTCCTCCTCCTCCTCCTCCTCTTCATCCTCCTCCTCCTCCTCCTCCTCCTCCTCTTCCTCCTCCTCGTCCTCCTCCTCCTCCTGCTCCCCAGTCCTGAGCTGTGCCCCTACAGAATATGGCGGGGCAGCTCTGGGATCGGTACGCCTCGCTCGGCGCGGTCTCCCTTGAGACGAGCTCCAAGAACGTGTTCTTGACGCACGGAACCGTGGCGAACTCCCCAGACTGCCCGTTCGCCTCCGAGGCGTCCGAGCAGACCAGCCTCTCGGTGCTGGCTGACGACGCCAGGGAGGTTGAGCTCTGCCCGGCGCTGGTGGCCACCTCCTTGGGATATCCAAATGACTCGACGCGGAGATCACCATATGTGCATCCCATACTCCTGTCAAATTTCGCTGAGGAGCTAAGTCCATGAGTGTCTGGGTGTGAGAGCGAATCCACGTAGCGACAGGCGCGGCAATGACGACGACGACGACGACGACGACGACGACGACGACGACGACGACGACGACAACGACGACTTCAGCGACGTCCTGCTATCCCTCTGGCCATCTTTCAGGGGGGACGAGGGAAACGCAAGTGAAAGAACGAGGGGGGGTTCTCTTGCCCTTCTCCCAGCGGCAACTCAGGCAAGCGCGCATGGCGTTGCTGCGCCCGCTCTCTGGCGTGCTATTTGTGGCGCGTGCATGCACTTGGGGTGCCCAAGTGCCACGCTGGCTATATATATATATATATATATATATGTACTCAAATATATATATATATATATATATATATATTATATATATATATATATATATATATATTATACATATATATATATTCCTCTTTCTATATTTTTACAAGCCCGGGCGGGGGGAAACCCATCACCCCCCCCCCCAAAAAAAAAAAAAAAAACGGACTCCCGGGATCTGGGACCCTGCGGACTGGCCTCGAAGCGGCCCCCAGGGCCTCGCAGGACGTGGCGCGCTCCCGAAACGACCCCAGAGAGCCCCAATACGATCGACGACGACCCCCAAGAAGCCGTCATACCCCCAAAGATCGTCCCGAAACGTCCCAAGAGGCCTCCAAGAGTACTCCCAAGAAGGCCCCAAGAGGCGAAAATCCTTGATTTTGTCGGTTTATGGCTTATTTTGGGGTTCTCCTCTTTTCGGCTTCCCGACGCTCCAAGACGGCGGTCTTCTGGGCGTCCGAAGCCCCCCGGGAGGCTCCAAAATCGCCCCACAACCATCCGAAAGGGCTTCCAGGCAGTCCAAGAGAGCCCCAAAACGGCACAACAGGGGTCCAAGATGGCCCTCAGGGAGCCCAATGGCGGCCCAAGATGGCCCTAAGACACCTTCCGAAGCATTCCAAATCGTGACCCGGTCGTTCAGGGAGACCGCAGTTGGAGGCAGGGTGGCCCGACAAACCCCCAGAAACCCCTAGAACACGCCCAGGAGGCCTTCAGAAGGCCTTAAGAAAGCCTCCAGAACACGCCCATGAGGCCCCCAGCCAGAGGCTCTCCAAGGAGGAGCCTCCGCAAAAAGAGCTGAGGAGGATGGGGGGAGTGCGCAGGGCATGGCGAAAATTAGGAATAAGAAGCACGGAGGAAAGATAACGAATAACATGATTATTACAGCGGCGATGCCAGAAAAGGAGGTATCGCTAAATTGTCGGCTTGATCTTCCCGCTAGTCCGCCTGCATACCAAACTTCAAGGACCAAGGTGCATGGCGCGAAGTGCCACTGCAGTCTTGTATATATACATATATATATATATATAATGGTAACCATGTGTGTGGGGCCTTGGAGCGAGTGAATATGAGCGTGGGTGATCTGAGCGTGAGCGAGTCGGAGTGTATAGGATCCGGGCACGATCGAGCCTGAGCGTGAATATAGTCAGTGTGAGAACGAGTGGGTCTGAGCATGAGTGAGTCTAAATGCGAGTGGGTCTGAGTGCTACTGGGTCTGAGTGTGAGTGAATCGGAGAGTGGGTGAGTCTGAGTTTGAACGTGATGAATACCAGTCTGAGTATGAGTGAGCCTAGGTGCGAGGTAGTCTCCGAGTGGGTCTGAGTTTGAGCATGGGCGAACAAGTATGCGTGAGTCTGAACATGATCGACTCTGAGTATGGGAGAGTCTGAATGTTATGAGTGCGTCTGAATGAGGAGGTGCTGATAAGTAAGTCCGGGTGCGAACGAGTGCGTCCGAGTGGGAAAAAGGAGAAGGAGGTGAGTGAGTGAGCGAGTGAATGAGGAGCACACAAATCCAAAGAAAAGCCTAGAGGGGGCAGAAACAGGCAAACCGCCTGAGACACCCCCCCTATCTGTGGAGAATCCTGGAGTGTCCCCACCCATGGCGGCTCGGGGGTGCCAAAATGCAACGCCTGCTATATCACGGTGACCACTGGTGAGCGCAATCCTGGAGTGTCCCCACCCTTGGCGGCTGAGCCTTGGAGTACCCAAATGCCACGCCTGCTACATCGCGGTGAAAACTGAACCACAAAAACTTACTTCGACGAAAGGGCCCCACATGAGAATTCCCCTTACTGCGAATCAGACTCACACTCATTGATGACTAACGATGGTTGTGCTGCCAAGATGCGAGGACACCAGGATGCGCAGTGCCGGACCTTTGAGGACCTGCGGGGCCCGTGGGAACTGTGCGACAGGTGGAAATCGTTGGACCTGCAGGCCCCATAAGGAAAGGGGCTCCCGATCGAGAGTTCCTCGCTATGCACTCGCAGACGTGGCCCCCGATCGACACCTCGTCACGACTGGCGCCCTTGGATTGCACAAGTGATCAGCCTGTACACTGAGCCAGTGGCCCGCCCGACTTACTAACATGATCTGCTGGCCCCAGACGGAGGGGGCTCCCGCTTGAGACTTCCTCGCAATCCACTCACTAGCGAGACTCCCGCTCAAGACATCGTCACGATTTGCCCCCTTTGGGGTGCTCAAGTGATACGCCTGCCACAACAAGCCAATGACACGCCCAGATTACTAACATGATCTGGGGGCCCCTTAGGAAGGGGGCTCCCGCCTGGACTTCCTCGCACTGCACTCACAGGCGAGGCCCCTGCCCGAGACATCCTGACAATTTGCGCCCTTGGGGTGCTCAATGCTACGCCTGCGCCAAAAAGCAAATGACCAGCCCGGATTATTAACATGATTTAGTGAAACCGAAGGGAGGAGGGCTGCCGCCTGCGACTTCCTCGCAATTGACTCACCAACTGAGCTCTCGCTCGAGACATCCTCACGATTTGTCCCCCGGGGTGCTCAAGTGTTATAACTGCTACAGTCAGCCAATGACACGCCCAGATTACTAACATGATCTGGGGGCCCCTTAGGAAGGAGGCTCCCGCCTGAGACTGCCCCGCAATTCACTCACAGACGCGGCCCCCGCTCGAGACATCCTCACAAGTTCTCCCTTGGGGTGCACAAGTGCTATGCCTGGCATTGTATCCCGATGACCCGCTCGGATTCCCAACATGAAGTGCGGGCCCCATAGAGAGGGGGCTCCCGCTTATTCGCTCACAGGCGAGGTTGCCACTCGAGACATCCTCATGATTTGCCGCCTTGGGGTGCACAAGTGATGTGCTTGCTACAATAGGCTAATGACCCGCTCAGATTACCAACATGAAGTGCGAGCCACATAGGCAGGGGGGGGCCCAACTGAAACATCCGCGCCATTGACTCACACACGAGGCCCCCGCTCGAGACATCCTCACGATTTACGCCCTTGGGGTGCTCAGTGCTTTGCCTGCTACACTCGGCCAATAACCCGCTCGGATTACTAGCATTATCTGCGGGCCGGGCTCCCGCGTGAGACTTCAGCAGGAGCCTGGGAGCCTTAGTATCAACCTCCATTCCTGAGGAGCGACAATTACAAGTTTGATCCACCCGGATTACCCACATGAAGTGCGGGCCCAATAGGGAGGGGGCACCCGCCTGAGACTTCCTTGCAATTCACTCACAGACGAGGCCCTCGATTGAGACATCCTCACGATCTGCGTCCTTGGGATGCCCAAGTGCTCTGCCTAATCGATTGTCCGATGACCCGCTCGAATAGCTAACATGACCTGCCGGCCCCATAATCGCAATTCAATCACAGACGAGGCCCATGCTCGAAACATCCGCACGGCTTGCCCCCTTGGGGTGCTGAAGTGCAATGCCTGGTAAAGTTGTCCGGTTACCCGCCTGGAGTACCAACATGGGAAGCAGGCCCCAGAGGGAAGGCACGCCCGCCTGAGATTCCCCCGCCATGCACTCACAGACAAGGCCCCCGCTCGCGACATCCTCGCGATTTTCCCCCTCGGGGTGCTCAAGTGCTGGGCCTGATACATTTGTCCGATGGCCCGCTTCAACTACCAACATGGAATGCGAATCCCCTAGGAAGGGGGCTCCCGCCTGAGACCTTCTCGCAACGCACTCACATACAAGGCCACCGTTCGAGACATCCTCAAGATTTGCATCCTTGGGGTGCTCAATGCTTCGCCTGCTCCAAAAAGCAAATGACCAGCCCAGGAGGAAGAGGGTAGAAGGTTCCAAAGGGAAGAAAGCTCCCGCCTGAGACTTCCTCGCAATTGACTCACAGACGGAAATCTCGCTCGAGACATCCTCACAATTTGTCCCCCGGGTGCTCAAGTGTCATGACTGCTACAATCACCCAATGACACGGGGGCTCCCGCCTGAGACTGCCCCGCAATTCACTCACAGACACGGCCCCCGCTCGAAACATCCTCACGATTTGTCCCTTGGGTCGCACAAGTGCTATGTCTGGTATTGTATCCCGATGACCCGATCGGATTCCCAACCGGGCCCCATAGAGAAGGACTCCCGCTGGAGACTTCCTCCAATTCGCTCACAGACGAGGTTGCCGCTCGAGACATCCTCACGATTGGCGCCGTTGGGGTGCACAAGTGATGTGCTTGCTACAGTAGGCTAGTGAAGTGCGGGCCACGTAGGGGGGCCCAACTGGAACATCCGCGCCATGGACTCACACGCGAGGCCCCCGCTCGAGACATCCTCACGATTTGCGCCTTTGGGGTGCTCAGTGCTTTGCCGGCCACAATAAGCCAAACCCGCTCGGATTACTAGCATCATCTGCGGGCCCCATATGGTGGGGGCTCCCGCGTGAGACTTCAGCAGGAGCCTGGGAGCCTTGGTATCAACCTTCGTTCCTGAGGATCCCAAAGTGAAGACAACTACAAATTGTCCGATGACCCACCCGGATTACCCACATGAAGTGCGGGCCCAATAGGGAGGGGGCACCCGCCTGAGACTTCCTTGCAATTCACTCACAGACGAGGCCCTCGATTGAGACATCCTCACGATCTGCGTCCTTGGGA